GAAACCACCAGATCTGGAAATGAATCATGGCTCTGCACCCACGTGGTGTCACTGCCACCACTACTGTCACTGACACGCCAGGGACCCCCCCACCACCTCACTGCCACCTTGGAGAGGCCAGGACCCCCACGAGAGGCTCTTGCCATCACTGTCAGTGGTCCCCACCACCATCCCCATCCCAGTCTTGGGAGGGGACGGGCACAGCTGCCCCCCACAACCCTGTGCACTGGCACTGACCTCTCGGTCTCTGGAGAATGGGACCCCCATGGGGAGGTGGGGGGTCTGGCTGGAGGGACAGCCACACCATCACCCGCGGCAGGGCTGGGGGACACCCCGTCTATGCCACCCCCCGGGCTCAGCACGGGCTCGGCCACACTCACCCCATCGCCCGCCGACCCGGAGAGCTCACGGCTCCAGCGGCTCCCGCGGCTCCCGGGACCGGGTCCTGTCCCAGCGGGGACGACGTGGGACCCGCGGCGCGGCGGGGTTTTGGCCCGCGGGGCCCGGCCGGAGCGTGGCCGGAGCAGCCGCGCTGTGCCGGGAGCTGCCGAGCGCTGCCGGGAGTTTTATACCGGCTCAGGAGGAAAACAAGCCGCGGGAGCAGCGGCGGGAGCGCGAGGCTTTGTTCGTGGAGCGGCCCCGGATCCAAACATCGGCCGTGCCAAGTCCCGACGGCTCCTCGGGCAGCCCCACCTCGCCGCGGCTCCCGTGGCGACCCCGCTCCCGCCCCGCGCGTCTCTGGGGACACAGGGAACACGAACCCCTCCATGAGCGCAGGGACCCACCTCGGGCGAGGGCTGCGCCCACCCTCTTGGCCTCGCGCCCTTGGAATGCCCCAGTGCGGCGCCCTCGGGCAGCCAGCCCGGCCCCTGCGGCCACCACATCCCCTCTAATGACAGGCTGCGACTGTGGGGGCTGCGATGGGGACACCGCGGGGACACGGCTCCCACGGTCCCCTCCCTTCCGCCGGCTGGGATGGCATCCGTGGGCAGGGGGGCACCTGAGTCGCCCCCAGCCCTTCCCAGTGAACGAGGGTTCCCAACCCGTCCTTTGGACGCTCCTGTCACCCTCTGTCTCCTGCAGCGTCGCTGCCCGCCCAGGACAGGTGACAAACCAGGTACAGCCCTACCTGGGCACGAGGCCAGCCCCGCTCCCGGCCCCCGAGCCCCCGGGAGCGCGGGCGGAAGGGCTGCTGGCGGGGAGGCGCAGGCGCCGGTGCCAGCGGATCGTTAGGACGATCAAATCCCGGGACTTTTGGCAGCCGCTTGAAGCGGTGCAGCGACCCCGAAGGGCTCGACAGCGGGGTCCCCACCGGAGGCCCCCC